AAAAAATACTTTCTTACATAAAATAAAAAGCTCAGCCTTTATAAGGATTTCATGTGTTCTGAAAAAGTATATTCATAATTGTACTTTTTAAACAAAGAGGCCCGAGTCAGTCTCAAAATACTTTTTAAGACAATGGTACGGCAATGGCAGCAGTGGGTTCGGGGAAATATTATTAACGTACATTATAATTAGGCTATTTAAACGATAGGCATATGACATTTTTAGTCATGTAACCCTAACAAAAACATAAAGAGCGACGAAAGATAAAGTATAAATAATATATTATTTTAATGATGTAGGAAATTGACTTGAGTAGCTAAAAATCAACCCAAAATTTAAGTAAGGAAACTAAAGGACGACGGTATTACCGTCGGTATTCATATAGGCCTAACACACAGTGCATAACGCTGTTTATTACCGTCGTTTGCCACTGTGGTTTTTAATAGAGAACAATTTGGTGATGAAAGCCACGTGACATACTTGGGCGTTGGATCAGATGTGTGTGTGGAGCAGTGCGTTGTGGTGTTGTGCATGTCGATTTAGACACTGAAACAAGATGGCAATTGCATTGGCGGCAGGGAGGTGATAAATAATCTACGTGTCCGGCTGTAAAACAAAGCCGAAATCAGTCTATTACTATAGATTATTATTATTAAAGATGGATCGTTATAACGTATGGACAGGGCAAAGTCTGTTTCATCTGGTTTCATGTAACTCTCAATCATGAATCAAACACCGAGATCAGATTTATCTTGATCGGGCTAAATTGATTTTATCTGTTAATTTAACATAAAATGAAAATGGATGAAGTTCAAATTATTTCTCCGCAAAATGAATCAACATTTTATTTCTTGTTTTTCTTGCATAGTTGTCTCAGCATTCACATTTTTGTAAGTACCTACCTGCAATACTAAGATTCAGTGCATTTCTATGGAAATCACTTTATCAAAAAAAGGGAAGCTAAGAAATGTGCTCTGTAAAAACATAGACCTATTCAATGTAATTTTGAAAAAAAAAAGAGGTCTGTGTCGGTCTCAAATAGGCCTACTTATTAATCGGTGAAAATAACATATCAACGTGTTACATGTAGGCCTAATCATTCAACTATGTACATAACATTTTCATGAACACGTCCGAGCCCACAGACGAATGTCTTTTCTCATACCAGGCCATACAAATCTATCACCAATCAAGCGTTGCGCGTATACCAGGATGTGATAATCCATGATGGTTGTCGAAAATTGTACGTCTGCATGAAAGAGGAACGAAAGGGCGTTTAGCATTAGATGAAACGTCGCAAATTATCGTGCTATCCGAATTAGGTAACTTGCATGGTCGCAGTAACATTGATGTTGATTTGAGAAGGTTGGAAAGTTCAGTGTCAGATTGCTGATTTTCTGCTATTAGCATGAAGTCAATTGGTGATGCCACGTTGACAGAGTTGGATATCTGTGCGGGATAAAGCATCTGAGATGACGTTATCTTGTCCCTTGATGTGACGGATGTCAGTCGTAAATTGGGATATGAAGTCGAGATGTCTTCTTTCCCTTGGTGAATATCTATCTGGACCTGCACGAAAAGCAGTGGTGAGTGGTTCATGGTGTGTGAAAACGTGGAAGCATCGTCCTTCAAGAGCATAGCGAAAGTGGAGGACTGACAAATAAATCGCTAAAAGTTCCCTCCCAGAGGTACTGTAACGCATTTTGGTGGGTCGTGATTTACGCTTTTAGGCTTATACAGTAGTTGCAAAGACAGGTGCATTTGGTTGTTGCATCGCCAAACATATTATGATACCGGCAGATATTGGGTTAGGTTGAAAAAATACGGCTTCATGGGCATCGTGCCTGTTTGCGTCGATTGGTGGATCGGTCGATGTTCGTCTCCATCCTCACACAAAGCAGCTACTAGTGTTGACAACTTGTCAATTTGATCTTGCATCGTACGAATATCTAATATTAATTGTACATTCCTGGGCAACCTTTTAAGTGCAGCATTTCATTTAGAATGAAATCTATATTTTTCCAAGTTTCAATTGCATTTTATAATTTTTATATTCTCAATAACAACTAATTTTTTTTGCAGTACTACACAATAATTTCACATATTTGTCTTTTCTCCTTGTCTTTAATATTTTGTCTCCTCTTTCTTTTTCTCTTTTTTCTTCTTTCCTTTGTAGTCTGTTTGGGCTCTGTCTTCTTCCTTGTCTTTTACTTTAAGAATAATCTTGCACTGTATGAGTTTATTAATATCTATATATGTATTGCTATGTTACTTTGGGAGTAAGGAACCTTAAATTTTGTTTTGCAGGGGGAAAACTGCCCCTCCCCTGACGGTTTTTACCGGGCTGACCAAGCCGTTGTACCGGGCTGGGTAATAAGAGAAAAGAAAGAGGGGAGAGGGAGGGAAAGAGAAAGAAGAGGAAAAGAAAAGGAAAGAAAAAGAAAAGAGAAAAATAAAGACAAGAATAAAAAGGAAGACATAATAATAATAAAGATTTATAAAGCGCACATCTCCACCAAAGATTCTCAAGGCGCATAGACAATTAAACCAACAAGATCCAAATAATTCTCAGAAGAATTTTCAGCAAAATCCAAATACCAATTATCCCATCGAGGCAATGTTGCTCCCCATATAAGTATACGAAGATACCCAAATGCAGTATGTTGAGCTTTAGCACCTTCCACCCCAAGATAAGCCCGGGGCTCCACTACCGTGCACTGCAACAGGAGCTGCATTGCGTCGACAGAGAAAAATGGTATCATGTGTTTAGTTTTTAAAAATTTTTTTAAATATTTTTTTTGTGAGTAATATAAATTCAACAGAGAAACATCAAGGTAGTCTATACACCTCGGTGAAAATCCAAATTAATTCCAGAAAAATTTCAAGCAGAATCCGCATACCAAATTATCCCATCGAGGCAGTGTTGCTCCCCATGTAAGTATGCGCATATACTCAAAGGCAGTATGTTGAGCATCAGCACCATCCACCCCGGGATAAGCCCAGGGCTCTACTACCGTGCACTGCAAAAGGAGCAACATTGTGTTGAGAAAAAGTGGTATCATTTTTTTTATTTACAGTATTTTTTTTTTAATGATATAAATTCAACAGAGAAACATCAAGGTTCTCTATACTCCTCGGTGAAGAGATGCAATTTTAACGTTTTTTTGAACAAGTTTAAAGATCTAATGTGTTCGACTGAGCAAAGCAAAGCGTTCCAAAGACGTGGAGCAGCAATCTTAATCATAATGACCAGACTCCCAACACACTGCAACCCCTTCTCCACTTCAAAAACTCATAACTCCTTTCATCTATGCTGCCCGATGGCGTAACCACTGGGGGACAAGGGGAAAATATCTTAATCTTTGAAAAATCTTCCCCACCCCTTTATAAATGCCCTTTTCATCCCCTGAAAGTGCCTAAAAACCTCAAATTTCACGCGCGAAGATTTCTTGTTAACATGGGCCAATTTCCTCTAAAAATTGCACATTTTAGTGAGTTTTGATCAATTCCAACGAAATTAGAATTAAAACACCGGGGGACAAGGGGAAAATATCCATCTTTGGAAAATCTTTCCTCACCCCTTGACAAATGCATCCTCTGAAAGTGCCTAAAATTCTCAAATTCTTTGCGCGCATTTCTTGTTACGGTAGGCCAATTTTCTCTATAAATTGCACATTTTAGTGAGTTTTCATCAATTCCGAAGAAATTAGAATTAAAAACACATAAATATTTTGCGTTTTTAGGGCTTTTTTAGGTTTATTCTTTTAAGTTATTTAAACACATAATAGTCCCAAACTCAAGTGTATTGATGGTGAAAGAATATGTAATAAATAAAACCATGATGAAAATGCTTATATTTAGTTTCAAACACACGTGTGTGGCCTATATTATAAATAAGATAAGCCCTATGTCGTATTGTTTTCTATATGGGGAGTGGTGTGGGGTGGGTATGGTAAATATTCTAACTGGGAAAATAAATACCCACTCTGACACAAGACGCCTGTTACGCGCCTGGTGTTAGCGCCAATGTGTGCCCTTCTGCGGACAGGGGATGTGCTCCCACTCTGAAGGTGGAAACCTTGTTTTTGCAAAATAAATTGATGCAATTTGCTATTATAGGTCTAATCAATAAATTCAACAACAAAGTCTAATCAAAATCATCAACCGATATAACCTTAAACATTCTTGGAATTGACATAACATTACTGATGTCGTACACACCCTTCAGTGTGAAATGTGGCTCTCTTTGCAAGCACATCTAACATCTAGGGAAAGAAGAGCTTAGATTGGTACCAGATAAAATAATTTTGTTATCAACATTAATACATTATGCTAATTTTCATCTTTGTAAAGCGCATAAGACAGTGCAAATTATTTCTGAGAGTCTTTTGAAGTGTGTAAAGCTCCATTTTATCCCATACATAGTCAAAATACTGGGGGGATGATACAATGGACCATCCCCCCCCTTGTCAAATATTGGGGGATATATTCCCCTTTCCCCCAGGATCTACGCCTATGTTTTTGGCAATTAAAAAGAATGTTATCCTAGGGATTTTTCTAAATGTTTTCCTTTTATCAATTGTTGTAATGTGTTTTATGTGTTCATTGAATAAAAGTGATTAAAAAAAAAAAAAAAATTCATAAACAAATAATAATACACACACAAATAAATAAAAGTTAAAAACATAGCAAATCATGAAACATTTGGTATTTAAATACATTAATCATTGTAGTTAAGTTTCTTTTTTCTTTTTGTTACATTCCGCAGCATTTAACATTAACTTGACAATGATCATGATTGGTGATCAAAATGTCATGTTATTAACCAATTTAAAATCTTCAAATCAATCCAAAAGAATGGTACTCAACAGATTATTTGACAACAAATCAGCTAAACATTATGTTTATTATTTAATTCAATATTTGTTCAGCTACAAATGTCAATATTGGAAGTTAAAAATATTCTGTCATCAGAAGTAGAAACCTACTATAAGTCTTACCTTACAACTCGTTTCAACATCATAATAGCTATATCTGGCATACCACATACCATAGAGTCCAACTGTAATGGTGTTAATAGAGAAAGTAGAGGAACGGGTATAATCCATGACATCCCCTCACGTACCGCATTCACCTGAGAATTTGAATAGCCCACAGTCAAGACAAGAAAGCATGTACTACACAATAACCCCACCTGTAGAATGCTTTATGTACTGTTAGTTCAGTAGAATAGTCTTAAGCCGTTATATTTTCAGGCCTGCTTTTTTCTTTTTAGTTATAGTAAGAACAGACCACATGTTGTGTGACACCAATTTAAAAGGTGTATGTCAAAAATCAATCCTGTTACCTGTGTCTCTATCTCCTGTAGTCTATATGCTAGCGCCCTCTCTACGTACTCTTTCCTGTTTGCATATGTTAAGGGTATGCTGTGACCTCCACTTATGACAGGAACGAAGCGGCCATCCGAGCTTTGGCATTCAAACGAGTACAATGGAATAACCTATTGAAACATATTAAAACATATTAAGGTCAATGTAAAGCAATTTAATTCCATTCAATTCATTTTACTGACGCTCCAAAAGCCATCAAGGGCTATTATCTGCAAGATTACAATAATATACTGTACTGTACATAAAACGGATACTCTTACTTATATACACCAACCCCACACCCAATAAAAAAAAAAAAAAATGATTTGTAAGAAGTTGAAAAAGACAGAAGTTATAAATTGGTTTCACTGAAAAAAGAGACATGGAAAAATACATACTGTATTTATCCTTTGCTATGTCATTTGAATTTCTTTACCTCATGGAAGTTCTCCTCCAGTATTCCGCTTTTATCAATATCTTTGATATTCTTTAAAGCTTGCATAAAAAATACATCAACCTGGAAAAATAATTCATAATAACTTAGATTATAAAATAAAGGTCAGATAATTTAGAAGACACTTTAATTTTCAACTTCTTTCAAAAGAGTCTTAATGTTAAGAGGCAAGAGAACTTTCTATATATGCAGAATACTTTCATTTCATTTATTTATTTCAGACAAGTGCCTTAGAGCCCCAAAAGCAACAAAGTCACCATGACAAAAGTCTGGAGCCCCAGAAAACTAAACTACAAGATTAACTATTATATAAAAATACAATACAAATGCAGCAACGCATGATGCTGATGCAGATAGAGGGCCTCCTTGATCTTGAGTTGAAGTGGTCCTTTGTTATCCATGGACTGCTTAGCTTCCTAGCTTTTCTGGACAGGGTTCGAAATAACGCTGGTCCGCCGGCCAATGGCTGGTAAAATGCATGGCGGACCTGTTAATTATCCCAATAACAGGTCCGCATGACCAGTTAAAATTTCAATGAAAGTCATTCACCTCTTAACGACGTCTTTACAAAATATTTCACACAGATAATGTCAACAAGATCGCCATTTTCTGTTTATTGTCATGTTAATGTCAGCTACGACCAGCCTTGGGCTCAGTCATTCAAGGCGAACAGATGAACACCACGCAGTAGCTAGACCATGGGCATGGAGGAATAGACGTTTAATTCGGATTTGGTATGTCATTAGATTCATATTAGTCTACATGTAAATTACACTCACATTCCCCAAAAACATTGCTAATTACGGAGAAAATTTGCAGAGAATGAAATTTTAATTTGTTAGATTTATTTTAGATTTGACTCTAAACAAAACCACGAGGATTTCTTATTTATTATAATAAATTTGATTAATTAAAAATTCAGCAAGCTGTCAGGCACTATGAAACTTTGGGCGATCTGACATCATGACAGCCAAGCACATGGGATTTTTGCCCAGCCACATGACCCCACGAACAAAATTAACCAATTAGTGGGCAGAGTTTAGGAGGCGTGACCTGATAAGTCGCATCGTGACCGCGAAGAATGTGTTGTTTACAGTTTAGAAAAAAATGTCAGACTGAAAATGCATGTAAAAACAATATACAAGCATTCATTTTATTGGTACAGTAATTCAATTTGCTGTGCACAACAGCTAAACAACAGGTACTGTACGTATATGTTAAATAATATGTTAACTTTTCGTAGGCTAGTCATACCGAATTCACCTGGCTATGCTAAGCCTATTTTAGCATCTAGGCTAGGCCCTAAACCGGCCTACATTATTCGGAAAGGATTCAATAGAAATGTTCCACAAACCGATCTTTCCGGAAAACCGAACATCGTATTGTGAGAGTGCACTGTACATACAAATAGATTCCTGTATTTATATTTAGCGGCATAATTTCATACAGAGACAACAGAACAATTTTTCTGTATCTGTCAATGTTTTACTTCATCGGTGATGGGCAAAATGATTAGCATGTCACAAATATGGTATTTGAGCTTTCTGAAGTTGGCAAGATAGTGGCTAGTGAAAGGATAGAGGACCAGTAAAAATATTAATTTACTGGTCCACTTGGCTAGTTAAAAAAAACCTTAAGGGAAACCCCTGCTGGAAATAGACGGGATGCTATCTCTAACTGCAGCATCCAAGATGTCACAGAAGCAATCCCAGCTACTGTCAATACCGCTGCTACCCATGGCTGGGGGATCCGGGGGACCCCCCCCACATTTTGGAGAATGTCTGGAGATTTTTGTATGATCGGAATGGAGAGGAGAAGGATGGGAAAGTCCCCGACTGAGTTACATTTTCTCGCAATTCACATTGGTGGATCTGGGGTCATGTGTCCAGACTTCTCCCTAGGGCAACAAAAAAAAAGAAAAAAAAAAGAATTCTAGACTTACCTTTTCAGGACCTGTGAGCTGAATTTTTTTTTTTTTGTTACAATAAGAAAATTAGAATTTTGAAGAACATAAAAGTCATTAAAACACACTTTAAATGTCGGGAAAGCTCATTTCCTGCCATCTAGGAATCAAAATTTCTTTTTGGGATTTATCGATTCATGGAAAAAAGATTACGCATGCAACTACTCATTTGTTTATATATGTATACACATACATAAAATTTTAAAATGAGAAAATTTTTCCTGACCGTTTTTAAGAGGGCAAAACCTTGAGTTTTGAAGAACTTAAAAGTGATTAAGAGACACCTCCTAAGTTGGTAAAGCTCATTGCCTGCCTTGTAGGAATCAAAATTTTCCCGTGGGAGAATACCCCGACCCCCTTTCTTTTTGGGATTTATCGATTCATGTAAAAAAAAAAAATTGTATGCAACTACTTATTTTTTTTTTATTTTTATGTATGTATATAATAATATAATAACAATGCGAAAAATTTACCTGACCGTTTTAAAGAGGGGGAAATCCTTGAATTTTGAAGAACAAAGTCATTAGACACCATCTAGAAATCAAAATTCCCGGGGGAAGACCCCCGGAACCCCTTTCGTTTTTGGGAAAATTGTTGATCCCACCCCCTAGATATGATTCCAGATCTGCATGATTCATATTCCCATTCATCTTATAAGTGGCCACCTCCCCCCCCACAAATTTGAAAACGTTCCGCCGGCCCTGCTATCAAGAAACACGTTCCAAGGAACAAGATGTAAAAGTTGATTCAAATGGTCAGTCACCTTTGCTGTATTTCAAAAACGAGCGCATGGTAGATTTACCTGGCAAGGAAAGGCGAACGGCTAGGTGGTCACTTTCAACTGGGTTTTCAACAACACAAAAATTGATAAGCTTTTCAGAATTGTTGGACAACACAAGGTCTATAATAGATCCATCGTTGGCATTTGATTGAGGTCTTGTGGGAATCTGAACCAGCTGATCCAAGTTAAATGATGCCATAATATCAGTTAGATGATGTGGGGCAGTTGGCCAATGTCTCCTGAAGTCCGCTAATATGATGACGCCATCATAATCGATTAATTCAGCCTCAGGTCTGGCAAAGGACTCTTCAAAGGCTGTCTGGTGGCCTACAGACCAACCCTAAGAGCCACGACTGATGGTCTTGTCATATTGATATCCACATCATTTCGATTCTGGGTCAAATGAACCCTCATCTGCATATTGGGCCCACTGGTAAAACAGTAATTTTTTAACTGAACAGGACACCAAGTAAAATAAGGCTCTATCCAAGTTTTTTGAAAAAAAACCCCCTGGTGTATACCCAAATGTAGTCATGATGTGCCTATATATGGTCATGATGTGATGTCATCATCATGACCCAGGCATGTTACATGTTTATTTCACATACAATTTTATCGTATCTGGACATGGCTTAAGTGATGGATGCTTATTCTTACCTCTTCGAGATCCTGAGGAAGAAGAGGCATTCCAACAAGCTGCTTCCAGACAATTGGTGCGAGATGGAGATCCAATGGTTTCTTAGTCCTGATGGCAACACCCAGTAAAATTCCAAAGAACTTAAACATCTCCAGGTAGTCCTTACACCAAGGGAATGGATTCAACAGGAATCTACCAAGGCAAACATTAAGAAATATTACTAATGCACTAAGATGCAGTTCTTATTATTAATACCATATATATTCGCGTATAAGATGACCCTCAAGTTTAAAAAGACTTTTGGATGATTTTTGTACGTTAGGTGTATAACCCCCTGTTCCATCTTCAGATTTCCTACTTTTTGTTGCTTTTTATGGTCTTGATATTGAATCTTAACTGCCGAAAAATGGAACCAAATGTAGGGCCAACTTCCAAATAATACCATTTCATGGGCTTTAAATGTTCATAAAAATCTTATTTCCCCGCATGAATTGCGTTATTCATACTAATGGTTAGTATCATCATTTGAGCAGTAAATTTGCGTGTTACACTGTACATAAGACGAACATGATCTGAAATAAAAAAATGTGTATGTACGATGACCCCCCCCTGTTTTCAATCATAATTTGCTATTACTTGAGAATATACAGTACTATAAACTGCAAAATAATGTTCAAAGTCTGACTCAGACAGAACAAACAATATTAAGGACAAAACAACAGCAGCAATAACAAAAGTAACAATAATAATAAATATAATAATAACAGTATTAACAATAACAATATTTATTAATGATTACAATAAGAATAAGTTAAGCAACTTATTTATTAACTTTAATTGCTGTAACAATTATTACATTCATCATTAATGCATAATTTTTGACATTTTACCGGTCCCTATTTTGTCCTGCATCAGACAACGCATTTGGTGTTGGTATCAAAAGGGGCACAACACCAGTCTCCAACTCCTGACACATTTCAGTGATGGTGTCATCAAACACTCCCCCTGCATCATCAGCCCCTTCTCCGATTAATTTGACCTTCCACGCCCTTGAAGGCAGTCGAAGGTCAGATGGGCGTAACTTGACAACTTGCTTGGCAATCTGACTGAAGATCGGTTTAGATTTACGACCACTAAAAGAATGAATTTAAATCAATATGAATATTATATGACTAAATATTAATAAAGAAAATTATTAACTAAACCAGAACCCTGCGGGTGCGTACGTTCCTTTGTACGTAAAAAATCAATGTACATTTGTGAATTGCAATAACTTGATTGTATCTTTTTGAATAATGATTGTGTAAGGTAATACAGTATTTTCATTTTGAGTAAAAAAAAATCAGAGGCGGATCCAGAAATTTATGAAAGGGGGAGGGGGGAAAGGGGTTCTGAGAAGTGCAGGGACGTGGTTAAGCAGGGCGGAGGTGGGTGGCGCCGCCGACTCCTGACGTCTTGCGCCCATCCTAAAGCTATTTTTAAGGCCTTCTGCCCAGCCTCATACAAATTCTCCCGCCCCCTTAAAATCATGAAGAAACCCAAGTTTTTGCTACATAACCATATTTTCCGGTGAATAAGCCGCAAATTTTATACGCGATTTTCCCCTCGAAGTTTGGGGTGCAGCCTATACACCAGTCGTTAACCTACTCCCAAAAAGTTCAGATCGCGAACCGCAGCGAAAATCACGCGCCGTCTGTCTAACTTGGGCCCATGCTCCTAGCCCAATTAATTAGCCTAGCCTTTGTTGAAGGGCTAGTATTTGTAATTATACTCACTATACAGTGCTGTACCCATAATTTTAAGGTTCTCCCCCACCCGAGACTGTCCATCAGGTGCTGTATTTTCTAACCATTATTTTCCCAAACATCATTTGATGAAGCTATGCTGTAAATTTATGTGTCCATAATTTTAAGGTTCTCCACCATCTGGGACTGTCCATCAGACACATGCCACCATCACATGCTGTATATGTGTATAGACGGTCAGTCCATCACATGCTGTAAATTGAAGTGTCCATAATTTTAAGGTTCTCCCCCACCCGGGACTGTCCATCAGATGCTGTATTTTCCAACCATTATTTTCCCAAACATCATTTGATGGGCTGTAAATTTATGTGTCCATAATTTTAAGGTTCTCCCCCACTCGGGACTGTAACCCCATAACAACCGCCTACTGACGACCAACTCACCCCCAACATCATTCCATCACATCCCCCACCCCAAGATCAGTCCATCATATGCTGTATATTTATGTCCATTTAGGGGCCCCCAGGTTTTCCCAAACATCATTTTGATAGATCTCCCAAGCCAAACATCATTCTGATAGGCCTCCCAAGGTCCATCACATACTGTAGCCTGTTACTTAAGGTTCTCCTCACCTGGGACTGTCCATCACATGCTGCATAGAGACTTGTCAATTGAGACCTCCCCCATCACCAATGCCAGTCCATCACATGCTGTATATTTAAGTGTCTATAATTTTCCCCCACCCCCAGGTCCAAATTTCAAATGCTGTATATTTATGTCCATCCCCCAATGACAATCTATCTCATGCTGTATATTTATGTGTCCATAACTTCCGCCACCCCCAGGTCTGAATATCAGATGCTGTATACATACTGTATACCCATTATTTTCCAAAACATCATAGACCACCCAAGGACCATCACATTGTGTCCCACCCCCAATGTCACTCCATCACATGCTGTATATGTGTCCAATTTTCCCCATCCCAGGTCCGAATATCAGATGCTGTACATTTATGGCAATTGTTTTCCCAAATATAATGTGATAGACGGTACTAATGTTGTGATGAAACTACATGTTGTGATGAAATCTCTGCTGTAAATTTATGTGTCCATAATTTTAAGGTTCTCCCCCACCCGGGACTGTCCATCATATACATGCCTCCATCACATGCTGTGTATAGACGGTCAGTCTATCACATGCTGTAAATTTATGTGTCCATAATTTTAATGTTCTCCCCCACCGGGGACTGTCCATCAGATGCTGTATTTTCTAACCATTATTTTCCCAAACATCATTTGATGAAGCTATGCTGTAAATTTGTGTGTCCATAATTTTAAGGTTCTCCCCTACCAGGGACTGTCCATCAGATGCTGTATTTTCTGACCATTATTTTCCAAAACATCATTTGATGAACTCCCGTCCCCCCGCCAACCCTTAGGTTCGTCCATCCATCACATGCTGCATATTTATGTGTCCAGAATTTTTAACCATCATTTCTTGGAAAATAATTCCACAAATGTTGATTTTTATTGCTTGATGGTAGGCTGGTGGTAGGCCAAGAAACCTACTTCACGTAGGCCTAACGGTATAGTATATCAGATGTGTCTAGGCCTACACCAGGTCCGACGGTGTCGCCCAAAGAGAAGCCTACATTACGTATGTGTCTAGGCTAGGCACACCAGGTCCGTCAATCTTAGCCGTTAAAGTATACTAAAACACTAATAGAACACACAGAACACCTTCAAATAATAGCGCAAGTAAGTGGCAGATATGCTACAACTATCTCGGTTTGCTCAATGTTTACTGACAGTCGCGAAAACAACATAAAGAACTTTTCTAGGCAGCTCGCGACAGAAACAAAATGTCGGCAAAGTTTGACCCGACGCATGCGCAAATCAAATTTTCGACTAAAAAACGACTCAAAACTGGTGGTAAGGGGTATATGTTTTATCGCCTACAGCTTACATTTTTCATCTAACCGAAAAAACAAACATTTCTTGCACAATTGCATGTCCACCAGCAACTATCGAGCACAATGTATACCTGC